TATATCGCAGGATGATGTTCTCAATCGCAGTGGGCATTCCAGGGACTTTCCATGGAATGTTCGCTTTCCAGCAACGCCACGCCTCCGAGAGATGCTGCAAAATCGTCTTCGACTTGTTTTGTTTAATAGACTCAGGCATCATGTCGAGAATGTCATGCATGACAGCCGCACGTAACTCGAGGTCATAGTGAGACTCGACACGTTGCTTCGTCACAGTCTTCGCAATGCCCTTGCTGTTGCGTCCCTCGAACTGACGCGCGAGGAGGTTACCAAGCCAGCGCTCGAGTAACGGTACAATGCCTCGCATGAAGAAGAGCCAGACACGCCAGCCAGGAGCCCAGAAGCCATTTCCAGGACCCTTGCCGACAGGGCCAGTATTAAAGCGGTAGTAGATCAAGTGCTTGAGATCTTTTGTCATGCGAACTTGTCTCATGAGCTGGATGAATAAAATCAACAAAATAAATTTCGCCTATAACCGAGATTATGCGAACCTTGTACTTGTACCGGTACATACCAGTCAATGCCCCAATGTGCGCAAAGATATACTGCAGTGCGTCTGCAAGCTGGAAAGCATCGACATTGCCAAGGCGGAACTGAACATGGGCATCAACAACAAGCTTCGTAAGGCGCAGAATCTCGCGACATAAGTGGAAGGCGTTTCCGAAGCGAGACTTTTTGCGCTCCTTCGTAGTAAGCGTCTTCACTGGCTTCAAGTTCATGTTATAGTCGAGATGCAAGTAGTTCAAGTTCTGAAAATGGAAATTAGCTTCAATGTACCCTGACGGTCTCTAAGAAGGCTTACCTTTCTGTGGATGAGGAGATTAAGCATGTTATACCCTTGTCTGCACACCTGCAAACCGGCTTCCACCCAGTCAAGTTTTGTCGTCTGAAAGAACTTCGTCGCCTTCAACTGCCGAAAGAGATTCTTTTTAGTCATTGCCTTCTCAGGTCGACTCTTGAGTTCGTTGAGGACGAAACACTTAAGCAATTTCTGGTACGATACGCGAACTTTGACTGGCTGGTTAGGAGGGCAATGCTCCAGATACCAGTTCTTCACCAGAGGTATGTCCTGTGCACGACGCATGCGGCCAGAGCGCCGATTATAAGGCTCAGGCGCCCACCATAGAGCAATACCATCAGCAGTGAGGTCGTTCTCGAGGGGCCTGTTCTCAAGGAATGGTTGCACTTCATCGGGCAACTCAAAATCGTCGTCGTCGGCGCCATTCGGACCGAATATAGAGTCTTCGTGAGAGACAAGCGGTGCGTTCTTGGGATGAGCGCCGCGCAGGGAGATGGGATTGATGAGCGGGTCGAAATAGAAGGCGGGTAGATCGGGATCATCAGTGCGAATGTAGACATTCTTGGGCGCATGATATGGAGAGAGGTGAACGGAGCGCGGGAGAGAGTTATAGAGATGCGGGAAGGCGACTTTGTACTCGGTACGGATTTGTTGACGAATAATGACTTTGTTGACATCATTGAATTCGTTCCAATCTTCGTCGAAAGCATCCATGTCACGGTACAATGGCTCAAACTTCGGCCCTCCAGGAATTGCCAAGTTCAGAGCTTTTGCAGTGAAGAAGGATTTCTTGTCAAAAAGATAGCTTGCGTTGCTATCAGGTTGGTCTGATAATAGGGTTCTCCCAAGACGATATAAATTCGCCATGACGGGTAGCGAAAGTTGCCAATAGCGATATGAGGGGCCATTGACCGCAGGTGTGTCCACCAGCGGCTTTGGGTCATAAAACCAATCAATGATAGCAGAATCTTCCTCTGAATCGAGCTCCAGCTGAATGGCTTCAAGAGGCTCAACATCCAGTACGTTATCACCATAATCCAACGGTGGCTCTTCGTCATCAAAAGGTGGAAAGCGCATACGCTTGAAATGTCTGCGGTCACGCTTCTCTCGACGCATTGCTAGCCACATGGAACTCCATTGGGCATGATAAACAGGTTCGATAACGCGGGGGATCTCATTGACGAAAGTGATTGCGCCAGTGATATGATAAAGGACGGGCACCTCGCGAACCTGCTCCCAGGGGTATGGAATGTTTTCGAGCAGCTTCATCACAGCGTGAGGGACGTATTTCAAGGCGCCAAGGTGGACACGCTTATCATTGCGAAACTTGCGATTGCTCATATCACCGTGGTCCTTGATAATTTTACGGACGTGCTCCGGAGGCAAATCCTGGGCAATCATTATTCAATACGTGTAAAATTACATACCAACTGAACGCACCTGTTTTCCCATATCGACGTACCCTCCTTTGCGCTTTTCGCCGTAGCGTTTCTTCTGCATAGACACCCATTTCTGCGACTTTTGTGCAAGGACTTCGGGAGGCATCTTTGAGGTGGACGCCTGTAGAAATCCTGGCGGTGGAGGCATGCCTGGTGGGGGGGGCGGCAAGCCCGGAGGAGGACGAATGAACGAACTCATGGTCGTCGATGTTGAGGGCGACGGTGAAAGTTTGGTCGATGACTAATTACCACTCCTTCAACTTTTAATTTCAAACTCCGGCGGTTCAAAATGTGATTACTCATCATCACGAGCGTTCAAGGATGCCCAAGGCATTATTCTGCTACTTGGTGAACTTTGAATAAGAGACGAAATTCTAAGCAGGAGCTATATACATAAGTGGTGCTAGGTAAAAAATTGAGAAGTAGCACATGAGGACTCAAAGAATCATTAGGGAACTGACATGAAAAAGATAAAGATTGACAAAGTATTATCTAAAGTAAAATCTGTATAAAATCTATTATAATTGTACTCCAAATGAGAAGGCTTTAAATACCTAGAATAAGTTGGATAGAACCTGCCAAATGCACATTGGTGACAGTCTTGTTGCAGCCACCTTGTCAGCTCATCACAATGGGACAGATTACAATACCCACCAGGCATGACAAGGGAATATCAAGTTATGTATTAGTTCCTGTACCCTCTTCTAGGGTACAGGTCTTTGAGAAAATTTATCCGTTGACTCAATCTTCACAGCTCTACTCAGTCTGATAGCTGCATCCTTTTTTGGGACTAGGGATCCGCAGGGGTAAACCTGCAGGTGTCCAGAGGACAACCCGCACCCTTACCCCTCAAGTACCTGTACCCGCACACCCATGGGTAGCCAGGAATACAGGTGTCTGTGCAGGTCTGCTAAGGGTCAAGGGTATCACAGGTAGAGGTATACCCATCATGCAATTGGTGTATGCACCCAACAGCCACCAGTGCTCAGTGCACATGCCCAGCACACATCAGCAAATGCTGATGTGGCTTGAACATGTGTGGTGGACACTGGGTGGAAGGAGGGACAAGAGGGAGGGATGTGCACTGGGCATGTGTGGTGGACACCGGTTGGGTGGAAGGAGGGATGAGAGGGAGGGATAAAGGTGTCATTGCGTGCACTGGGTGTGTGCAGTAGACACTGGGTGGAAGGAGGGACAAGAGGGAGGATGAAGGTGTCATTGCGTGTACCAGGCGTGTATGTCATAGTTGCCTGTACATATAAATTGAAAACATACCTAAGTTCCACAGTGCTGATGCGCAGGGTGGGGTTTGAAGCATGATGTGGCATGTGGTAGGCATGACACAGCGCTGTCTGAAAGAATTTGTAAGCAGGTTCAGCAGTACCCATGCAGGTAACAGGTACTCAACACATCAACCCGTTGTAACGATACAACAATGGCTGAGCAGGGAACACATAGTAAGCTCTCAGCCAAATATAAAAAATGTTGTGGTCTTGCACAGCCTAGTCCGCTATACTTGCGAGACAAGTGGGTTTGACCCGATGTAGGACTTGGAGTCCTTGTGGCCTCGTAGAGGTCTATTTTCCGATGCATGTGGAATGCTAATCATTACCCAAATCATTACCTATCATATCCGACTCAATATGCACCAAACCTGAAAACATCGGACATTGGACATCAGGTTTCACATCAGGTTTCGCATTGGCCGATCAGATATCGCACACACTCATCCTACCTATGTCCAGTCTCATTGCGCTAGCCCCACTAGGTGCGTAGTTACTTGTTGTCACATCCCTAACATTGTCGACCGTGTTATTACATGTATTCCCATAGTCTGCAGTACCTCATGTCTTATTACATAGGACATTGGATCCGAAATATTGTGCTACTACTTTTGCCTATAGGGTTCTGTATTTCTATGTATCTACATAAATATTGGACTCCCCATAGCATCATCATCATCATCTGAGTAGAGTAGAATCGTCTCCAATGCTTAGGGGTCAAACCCGATATTTCATAGTTCTTAGTTGACATTGCAAATATCATTGTTCCTTCACCATCTGTATCCATCATCGTTATTATTGCGCACACTGCTCGCTTTCCCGACGCTCGCTATTGCATAGCTATTAGTTTCCGATACACCAAACCCGAACCCAATAACCCAAAACCCAAAAAACATCGGACCTGACACTTTTGCATTGGACATCATAATTATACCTTCGGACATTGTTTCCCGCACTCGGATTATTGACCTCACATCACTCACTGACCCCCCAAAACTATTTCCAGACTGCAGACCCCTGGGTCAAACACACTTGTCCCACAAGTATAGCAGATAGGCAGTGCAAGACCACAACATAAAGATATCAGTTTGGAGCCATCTTTGTATAGCCCCACTCTGTGTTGTATACCTACACCAAGGGGTTTGCTGTATGGTATTAGAATAATTAGTTATATGAAAGGGAAGATAGTCCAAAGATGGAAAACAAAGTCCGAAGGTATAATTATGAGTCTGATGTCAAAATGTCGGGTCTGATGTATTCAAGTTTCGGGTTTAGCCACATAGCTGTATTGTAGGAGTAGGTCCAAATTGTACTATATTGCATAATTTATATGTGTGATTGTCAACAGTATCTATTGATAGTTGATGGTAATTTCATGCGCCCATTCAACCCAACCATGAAAAAACTGAAAACAGCATGTATTTTTATCTACTTGAGATGACAGTCTGTACTAGGTTCTCTACTCCTCATCATCCTCACTCACAGCATTGCTGAAGAAACCCCGTGATCATTGTACTCTTCAATTGCAGCATCAAAGGCACTCCGAGGTATGGTGCAGCCAGTTTCATGGCCAATAGGGTCAGCCTTCAAGTGAATCCTAAAGAATGATGTCAGAAAGTTGTGATGAGACATTGAGAACCAGCAAAGAGACATACCAGCCATTGTCATGAAGATGAGACAACAGTTTTGGTAGCAGGCCCTGAGCCTTGGTGTGCTTGTCAAGGTCTGTGAGATTGGTGAGGTGTTTGTCTAGGACATCCTGATACTCATCAACTATGAACATTTTGTTTGTTTGAGCACCACTGCTCCATTCATCGATGCAGCTTTCAATCTGCCATCAATCAGCATGCATTCAATATGGCAAAAAAAAAGTACTGCAGTCAAGAGCAATGCCAGTCCAACCTCCGTAAACGGCTTGTAAAACTCAGGATATAAGACTCCTTCATCTTTCTTATCACAGAACCATATTGTATTGACACCCTTCTGGATAATCTCTGTACCATATAGGCCTTTGTTACTATTTGCCGAGCAAGTCTGATGAGAATAGTATCATCCGCTAAGTCAGACTAATGCACAAAGAAAGTTACTAAGTACTTACCTTGTAAACAAAGGCAAAAGCTTTCTTGAGTTCCTGTGTGTGTGCAATGTTTCTATCAATGACAGATTGCTTAGTACTCGTCTCAAACCCATACTCATCTGCCACATATGGCCGGACTTTGGTCTTGACCTCGCCATGAAGGTGTGAGCCTTGAAAAGTGATCTAGTAGATAGATCTTAGATACATGGTCTACCAGAGGAAAAAATTGTCCATTTTTAGAATCTCTGCATCATATGCAACATATGTTACAAGTAACATCGGTCACGTGGCCCCCCTATCATTTTCCCCTCATCCTCGCCCTCACCATCTACCGGCTCGTCCTCCTCTACCGCCTTTCCGTTGACCGGATCCTCGGGGCCGTTCCCGTCCCTCGCATCGCCCGCCTCTATGCACGTGCATGCACGTTCCTCCTCTGATTCGACCACCAATGTGGTCCCGCACCTATGACTCGGTCTGACTCGTGCCACCAATGTGGCTTTCCTCTTTCTGTTTCCCCTGACTGCGGATTCCCGCATGTTGTACTCTTACCGTTGGTCCGTTCCAACGTTTCTCGGTCTCATTCCACATTCGACCATCCACCACTAATCCGGCTCTGATGCCACCGCGCCTATACCATTCTCGTTTCCCCTTTACCCTTACCTACTGTGCGGTAGCCTTGCCCTTAACCCTCTCCACTTAGTATAAGTAGTCGGTCACTCTGTACTAGATTCCTTAACTTGAATCTACTCAATCTTCCCTGGAACATACTCCTCTCTGAAGCCCCCTCAGCTTCAGTCTCTAGTATCTTTTCTTAGTCGCTCGTCGCGACTAAGTCTACCTCGATCGACCTCATCGTTTGGACAAGACTGTCCTTACCTTGAGTGACTTCTCAAGACATCCGTCTACGAAGTCACGTGACACGCGCGTACTGTGATCGCTGCCGACTCGTCGTCGCCAGTCTCACTTGCTATACCGGATCCTTCCGGTTACGTCACGAACATTAGCGGACGACGCCCCTCTTAGGGCTCCGCCTAACAGATCTATTTGAGTGCGTAACAACATAAGTATTCAATCTCTTACACACTTCATTCCATGTTAACTTTGCCCAAGTGACCTCCTGCATGTGATCAGGCATAGGGCCCTCAGTGCATAGACAGCCACGATAGAGTGCCCAGGCCATACCAAAGATACTACAAACTGATGGTTCATAATCAGTGGCCTTTGGTCTTCCTTTGCTTTGTTGAATCTTGATAGCCTTACAAACTTGTCTATTGTTAACATCACTATCAGATGCTCTACACTGATGTCTACCTAACCCTTCAGCATCAGGTGATGGAGACTTAGACCTATGACTAGTGACCTAGTCACCATCCATGTTGAAGTCCATGAGATCCATGATAGCTTTATTGAATAAATCCTCATCAGTAGGGCTAGGAGAGTAAGTGATTATGTTGCTGAGACCTGAAGTAGGGCAAGAAACACCTGCCATCAAGTCATTTTGTGAACTAATAGTAAGTATAGTCGAGGTACTCACCATGAGACATTGCAGAAAGAGGGCTTGAGGCCTGCTTGGTAAGCACAGCCTCACACAGATGCAACAGTTCAGCTGCCTTTTCAGGTGTCAGAGTATTAAGGTGCAGAGTCTTTGTATATAAGTGTCATCATAGAAGTAGATATAAAGTAACCTTACTGGTTGAAGAAATCCTGCTTGGTGCAGGTGGCACCACACTTTGATGTGCAACAAGTCTTAAGTCCCTTACAGGGGTCGAGACAATCTGGCTGGTAAACTGAATAAAAACTCTGTCAGTTGAATTGATGTAACAAGAAAGACAGACACATACCATAGGATCATGAACAGATGGGGCTGCAGATGTTTGAGATGTAGAATCAGTAAGTGCTAGTGAGCCATCATACATTGCAAACATCAGTGTTAAGGGTGACAATATGAAAAAAAAAAACTTGCATGTCCATGAATCTTGTATGCTTCACATTCTGAAGCTTGGCTAGCCTTTTGTTGAGCCTTCTCTTGCCGTTGCAGAGCTTTATTGGCCTGTTCATACTGATGGTTTTCTTTGTCCTTATGAGTCTCAGCTTGCAAATGATATTCAATCAGCTACAATAACAACAAGAATGAGAAAGGATCACTCACAAATATATTGTGCCCTCTCAGTAGGATGGCAATCATGATAATGGTGATCAGACTTTGCAGCTGATGACATTAGTGTAGGTTAGAGTTGAGAGGATGAGCAAGGAATGAGATCAAAAGCAAAGAGTGCACCTTGGTCCAGATTTTGTGATAAGATTGGTGCTGAGAATGTCTGACTGCTGAAATAGGGCATGGGGACAATGGGATGTCTCGGAATGTCAGAATCCGAGACACATGTTGGATTAGACACTCAATCAGAGCAAACAAATGATCTACATACATTGTTACAGTAACATGGCACGAGTCCCCCGCCAGCAGACAGCCCTCTGCCACCGCACGGCTATAGACGATATAGGGTCTCACCAGCTCTATGACGATAGATGAAGATAGATGATGATAGACGATAAGCGGCAACTGCCGGCTTAGATAAGCGGTCTGGACCGCACGTGACATGACATGACGACATAGGTCTAGAAGACCTATTTATGTTATCAAGATAGAAGGCAAGCCTCATGTTGCCTCATGTACTGATAGAAGGATACCACATGGATCCTATCTCTGATGGAAGCGTACCGCATGGACGCTATCTACGATAGAAGCCCGCCTCATGAACGCTATCTCTGACTCATGTAGATAAGCAGATTAGAACCCAGCTTTAGGCTGAGCTTAGATATGAAGAGTAGCCTTATATAAGGTCGAAGATTAAAGTAGATGTTCCTTACTTTAATCTTACTAGGTTTACCCTTGAACTCCTTGTCCCGCTAAAGCTACCTGCTCGACATCGACTCGTACCTTCAGTGACACCTCTCACTGTCTGTAAACCCTGCTATCATCTCAGCATAACCCCTCGTTAACCACCACGAGCTACGTTCGAGTACGCAACCTTTGCTTGTCTGTAAAGGCCGACGACTCTCAGCACTCGGTACCACTGTCGTGGTTGTCGCTGTTAGATTATCCTAGTCGCACACGACCGTTTGTCGTAACATACATACCTTTGAAACCAAGTCCTCCATGAAGTCCCACACAAACAACAAACCACGCTGCAATTTTTGTCTCAAAGAGCTTGCCAGATGCAAAGATGTTACCTTACATATCCAAAACACACCAGCATGTCGCCAACAATAGGATCTCATGGTCGCTCAACAAAACATGTCCTGCAACGAACAGTTAGGCAAGGAGTCAGATGTTGTCACACCCCCAGAATATGACTATGACATACCTGATAATATTGACTATGAATTTCTGCAAAGAAGGGCCTGGGTCAATGCCCATGAGCAGAATGAGGAGCACCATTCCAAAAGGGCCAGAATTGAGGAAATAGCAGACAATAATGAGCCTGGCAGATTTGCCAAAGTGTACCCAGGGTGAGTTGTGGATGTGTTGGGAGTTGGGAAAACCAAATTTGAAGAAATCTGGGAGAACCAGATTGACATGGGCCTGAAAGGGAATCCATGGTATCCATTCAGTGATGAGGAGGAGTGGGGACTTGCAGAGTGGCTGATGAAGAGTGTTAATAAAACTGCTACAGATGAATTTCTCAAACTCACCATTGTAAGTCCAAATGATGTCTCCTCTCTGAAGCACCTAGTAACAAAAAACACCTTAGACTAAAAATTGCACTCAGCCTAGTTTCACGAGCACCTACACATTTCAGAAGAGACTTGACAAACTTCCAAAAGGTGCTGGCTGGACCTGTGACATCATCACATCAATGGGTGATCGAAGAGATGGCAATGATGAGCTACTCACCAAAAATCATGAACTTTGGCACCAGGACCCTGTAGAGTGTGTGTGCGAGCTGATTGGGAACCCTGTGTTTGAGGAATACCTTGCATATGTGCCAGAGAAAGTGTTTGCTGATGCTGAAGGCAAAACACGAGTCTATGATGAGATGTGGACAGGTGATTGGTGGTGAAATATGCAGGTTAGTTGAGCGAAAGTTCGAGGCTAGATAGCATTGACTAACCATAAGTTATAGCAACGTCTTCCAGCTGGTGCTGTTGTGGCACCAGTGATCCTTACATCCGACAAAACAAACTTGACCCATTTTCATGGGGATAAAGCTGCCTGGCCGATATATCTCACTGTCGGAAATATCCAGAAGGATGTCCATCGTCAGCCATCAAAACATGCTACAGTGCTGATAGGATACTTACCTATCTCCAAAATGCTCCATTTCAAAGATGATGAAGGACATCAATTGGGTCGCTATTGTCTATTCCATAACTGCATGTGTTTGCTCATGGAACCACTCATCAAGGCTGGTCAAAGTGGAGTTGAGATGATCTGTACTGATCGGAACATTCGTCAGATATTTCTGATTCTTGCAGCATACATCACGGATCACCCTGAGCAATGTCTCATTGTGTGCTGTAAAGAAAACCACTGCCCCTGTTGTGTTGTAAGACCAAATCAATGAGGAGACCACCACAACTCACCTCTCCAAAATGTTGATGAGACTCGCACAACTCTCAGACATCATCAAAATGGAAAAGACCCTTACCTCTTTGAAGATCAAGGCCTTCATGCAATCCATTATTTTTTCTGGGTGTATCTCCCACACACCAATATTTTTTCATGCATCACTCCTGATATCCTCCACCAGTTACACAAGGGAGTGTTCAAATATCACATTGTTAGCTGGTGAACTAGCATTATGTCTGACTCTGAGTTTGATGCACGGTTTCAAGTGATGTCTGATGAAGCACTCAGCCTCACGCTGAGCTCGTATTCACTGATTTCCTTATACGTGTCCAATGCCTGTCATGCACTAATCACTTCTGATGTAACCTGACACTAACCCAATGAAACCTAACACTTTGACTAGTGGACCTGACATTTTGGCTGCATCGGCTGACCTGAAATCCTGCGCACTTGTCCTATCCGTGTCCTGTCCCATTTTGCTAGCCCCACTAGGTGCATATTTGATTATTTCGCACATTACTCATGTCGTAGCCAGCGCTATTACATGTTTTCCCGTTATCCACAGCACCTCGTGTTTATTTACATGTACTTTGGACCCAAAATATTCGGCTGCTACTTTTGCCTACAGGTTTCTGGATTTCTACGTACTTACATATATATTGGACTGACCTCGAGTATTTTCATCATCCAAGTAGTAGGGAGCCATTTCCCAATGCTTAGTGGTCAAACCCGATATTTCATAGTTTTTAGTTGACATTGCGAATATTACCACTCTTTCTATCTGAAATACCCGTCATTATTGTTGATCCACATACTGCTCACTTTCCCAAAATTTGCTATTGCGATTCCTGCTAACCCGCTAAACCTGAAAACATCAGACCCAATGTTTTGACATCGGACTCGTAATTATACCTTCGGACTTTGTTTCCTGCGCTTCAGACTATCTTCCTTTTCATATAACTGATTATTCTAATACCAAACAGCAAACCCCTTGGGTCGAACGCACTTGTCTCGCAAGTATAGCAGACTGGGCTGTGCAAGACCACAACACATTATATATTGCTAAACACTTAATTTGTGTAGTGTTCAGCAATTGTTGTATCATTACACCAAGTTCCATGGACTACGTCATTTCAAGTGGGGAATTTCAACCGTCTCTCAATGGACTTGCACCAAGCATAAGGAGATGCAGCATGTCATTTTAGGTGTGATTGCAGGTGCTGTGGAACCCCGCGTGTTTCAGGCTGCGCGTGCTGTCCTTGATTTTATTTACTATGCACAGTATCAAGCCCACATGGACATGACCCTCATGCAAATGCAAGATGCACTAGATATTTTTCATGCTAACAAGGAAGTTTTTGTTGAGCTGGGCCTGCAGGAACACTTCAACATTCCCAAAGTCCATTCTATGTGCCACTATGTCTAAGCTATTTGTTCTTTGGGCAGCGCAGATGGGTTCAACTCAGAAAGCCCTGAATGACTACATATTGACTATGCAAAGGATGCTTATCAAGTGAGCAATGAAGTCAATTATGTCACACAGATGACTCACTGGCTCGAACTTCAAGAGGCCGTATTTTGCCATGGTATCTACCTCCAATGGAGCGCCTCCCAAAGTGACTGACTACTCAACTTGGATGCACTTGGGGATCAGGACAAGGACCACAAGGCTGCAAGCTTGGAGAGTGGGACTGTGGACTCATTACTGTCTCAATTTATTCCATCTGGTTTGCTTACCTCACATGGCTGCTGTGTTGCCAAGAGCTGCCCTTTTCCAAATGTGTCTGTGTCTCATCTGCAAACCATTTTTGGTGCTATCGACTTCATACCTGCACTTCAAACTTTCCTCAACCATCACTTTCCCCATTCTTCTGTTTCTGCTAGCAACTATGATCGGTTTGATGTGTTCTACTTATCCTACCTAAGAAAAGTCATGTCAGCAACCTCAAATGGTTGAATTGTGTTCAAGCTCATCCACCTATTCCCAATCGTGACCATCACAAGCCTGCTGCGCCTGCACACTTTGATGTTGCTTTTGTTATCAAAGCTCATGAGCTATGGAAGAGTGGTACAGGTCTCAATGGTACATCTTTCATTTTATGCTTCAAACGATTATGCTTAGACACTTGCAGGCTTGCAGGTTGCACAGATACATGTGATCTTCAAATTACCATCTTACTATGGTAACTTCACTCACCCGCTCGCATATATTGAATGGTTCTGCCCCCTCTATGACCCAGAATCCACTATGAATCTTTATTGGCTGGCACGTTCAACTTGTAACTAATGGTGTTTTGCGTCTGTCATGAGTGTGCAAGATGTTTTGCAAGCAGGTCATCTGATGCCCAGGTTTGGATCAGGCAAGGTAGACACATCATGGATCAATGGTGATGTTCTTGAGCTTGCTGATGAGTTTTATATCAATCCTTACATCAATTTTAACTTATTTGATACAATACAGCATTTGTAATCTACTTATTCTAACATCACAGCACAAGTATCATGTCATTGTGCTTGTAGTTGTGTTGTTGTACATGGGCTTGCACATTGTTTGATTGACTACCTACAGCTACTGTGGCCCTGCTGCTACAAGACCGGCTACCAGGAGCTACTAAAACTCCTGAGCACAGTATAGCATTGGCATGGCGCTACCAGTCCAAAAACACTTTTCCTGATGGATATTTAGTAGTTTTTAGCTAAATTCCGCAAATATCATCCTTTCTTTACCTGAAACACTCCGAAACATCTGACAGTAACCTGCCATTCGCTACATTTCTGACGCTAGCCCGACGCAACACGCTTGGCAGCAATAGGATGCTATCACAGGCTATATTGTGGCAGGACTATGATATCAGGTATGTGATAGTGGGAGGGGGGGTAGCTACCTGACTACATATCCAACATAGGCTATATAGTGCTATACAGTAGCCTGACTTTTTCCTGATATTGGATGACCTCCTTCTACTTGGAGGTAGAAAGGTAAAGTAAAGTAATAGGTAGGAGGTATGTGAAATATATAGTGTCTATGTAGAATTTTGAAGTGCTATAGGTGAAAGTAGTAGCAATAATTTTCAGGTCCGATGTCCTATGTAATAAGGCATGCAGTACTGCGGACATGTAATGATGTGGTCTACAATGTTAGCGATGTGAAAATGAATAACTGCACACCTAGTGGGGATAGATATGATAGGACAGGACATAGGGAGGACATTTTCATTGGGTTAGCATTGGATTAGCAGATAACCATCGGATTAAGTGAGTAAGTGTCGGATAACATCAGGAAGTGATTTATGTGCAATGGGTGTTTGACATGCATTGGAAAATCACAGAATACGAGCCTAGTGTGAGCTCGAGTGCTACAGCATGCAAGATTTCATCCTACTGCATGAGCATCCGGAACCCATAGGTGAGAACTGTAGTGATGAAAATGAGGCAGATAAGTAATATGTAATGAAAATATGCACAGAACGGATACATGTAATAAGCCTTGCTATCATTTAGTCAAACTGAGAGAGAAAATGAACACGCACTAGCAGAGATAGGTGGACATGAACAGACAGCATGGGATGGAAATGCGGAGTGCGCGGAGTGAGTATGAGTGCGGGAATGTGCTGAGTAACATCGGTTGAGGAGTACTTGCCATTGAAAATACCAGGAGATGAGGCAGAACCTGTATACTTCAATACCCTTGACACCAATATCAAAAGACATGCTTTGCAGCCCAGGGAGGATGTGAGTGTCACATCAACATATTTGCACATGAAACTTAATCATGAAATGAGTAAATATGATTATGCTGATGTATAGAAACTCACTGTTCATATCCTTTCATTTTATTCAGCAAATTTTTGCATACCTTGACAACATCGGGGTGTTCATGACCATCATGGTAAACCCCCCTTTTAACATCTTTACAGGTATAACCAAGTTTCTTCAACCATTTGATAGCTATTCATTCACAGATACAACTCTTTTTATCAGATAAATCCAAGGCTGGAAGAATGACCTGGTCAACATAATGACAGAATTCTTGAGGGGTAATGGTGCCAAGGTTTTGAGCAGCCAAGTATCTTCAAATACCATGCAGGACTGATTCATTATTCAAAAGTGTATATTGGCCATGTTTGGCACTTTATTTTGTAAGTGGGAGATGATGGTGATACAATAGATAGTTTTCATGGTGGCAGATCTAGTGGGCAAAATATGCACCATTTTCTTTTCCTATGTGATATGCAATAGTTAGACTGACTTTGAGACAGGGTTGTTTGCAATTTGAATTATGGAAGAATCTCTCCTGGAGTGACACATATTGGGTTACTACAGTAAGATGCAATATCATCTTGACTCTTCATGCTGCTGGTATGTTTAATTTTTTAAGATCTCTCAGGCATGATTTTATCTAGTTCTTATGATACTCATAAAGATGATAGAAGTCAAGTAGCTGTGGCTGATATTATTATGGAGCCTATTGGATATACCATAGGGGATTATTCTATACAGAGTAGAAAGAAAATAAAACTACATGTACTTGTATGTCATGGATTGCAAGAAGCTTCTGTTGTTATGTATAGAAGGAAAATTTGTCACTAATAACCATCTAGGCCTGATGTTTTACTTATATCCTCATTTAGATCCTTGGGATATTGGAGGTCTTTAGCAATATATTTTAATGCAAGCACAAGTCAATGTTATGCTAGACAAAGACAAAAGTCAATGACCTTAGTGAGACACTTATGTAGCATTAGATTAGTCAGACTAAATAAATCTATAGAAAATATGCTAGCATTAGAAGATGAAGTTGATGGCAGAGGAGTATACAAACAAGTTAATAATTATAGCAAGATGTTATACAATTCTGCCATGGTGGAACCTCTTATCATCTAGGTCATTGGAAGAATTGTGAAGATATGGTTCATAAAGTAAGGGTGTTTAGAGAGCCAAGTGTTTATCATTATCTTGTCTCTGTTACAGAGTTTGATGAGACAAAGTGAGTTATTACTAACTAAATTTTCAAACCCAGCATTGAGTGAGTAAATGATGAGTGTGGCTGAATCTAAGCTGACATTTGAATTAACAAAAAGTAGACATTATTTGAGTAATGAAATGACAGAATACTAAAGCAGAAGAGACCATATCTGAAGTAAGTGGCTACAAATCACATGATCATATGGTTATGCACTAATGAAACTGACGAAAAGCTAATTCTCTTCAATATCATACATGACATAAGAGAAGAAGAATTGTTAGAGACTTACAGCAAAAGACCTCTCTTGAATCTTACTGATTTGAAGTCTGAAGATCTCATACTCTTAGAGATGAGGATAATGCACTATTTGAAGACAGTAAGTGGCATTCTCAAGTATAGTATAAAATAATTGCAATCTTATTCTTATATATGACAGATATGCTTGAGGATAATACTCAAGAAATGCAGCAGATAGATGGATTAGCTATCTAGTATAATATAGTAAATACAAGCAGGTCAAAGTAACCTAGTAAAAAGTGCATTTATTATTATGTCCTAACTGAATTCTATCAAAGGTGAAGAACAGAAATAGGTTAATACTTTCCTGTGAGCAAGAAAATAAAGAACCATGGAGAATGCTAAAATAACACCTAATATTATGACATTATACCAGAGAATACCAAGCAAAAGTAGTGACACTTATATAACATTATCATGACAAGACATTCACATATAAAGTTTACAAAGAAATTGGGACTATGTACCAAAGACAGAATGAAAGAATCTCTTGCATTGCCAGCTCTGCTGCAAGCTGTAAAAGCTATTTATATAAAGAACTAGATATGCAAAATCCATCATGATATATCAGTCTAAAGGTAAAAGACAAAATAATGCAAATTATCAAAAAGACTTATAAAGTCAAAGAGAGCGATTTTTTTTAGAAAACAGCCTTTAATCTGGAGCATCCCTATATCACTATCAAAATATCCAGCAAGACATCACTCTCAATAAGTATTACAAAAGGCCTCTTGCTTCTACTTGCAGACTTAGAAGTTAGAACTAATTAAATAATCATGGCCTACATTGAATATAGAGGCCTTACAACTTATTGAGAACAATCTACACTTAGGAGTATGTCAGAGCCTACTAGAGTTGTTTCTGAGAAAATGACACATCACCAATTAATATTATCAGATTTATTTTTCTACCATGTAGGAGGATAAATAACCATAAAGCAGATCAAAACAGAAATAAACATACAACACATGTAGAATGAGATAGACAGATATAAAGATTATAAGATGAAGTGATATTAATGAATACAAAACTAAAATAGCCTAAACCTGCACCCAAATTATGGAACAGCCAAATCATTCAAAAGGATCATTACATAAAAAAACTTCAAATAAAAAGGCATTTAAGATATATCATCACAGCACACTACTTACTTAACTCTTCATAATATATCTAGTCAAATCAATACATTCATTGAGCACTTAATCATAGGCTGCTCTTTTGCTCCAACCAAAATAAACAGATTCTTAGAAGTAACTATCAAAGATAGTGTAATGCTTGGGCTCATATTAAGCCTGTATCATGCTATTTTATAATGTATATTAATACCATTCCATCCAACCCTATTTCTAGTTGTCCTAATCAGACATTTGTTGGCTCTAAGAATCAGAAATATCAGACATGTATTGGACCTCACAATTAAATCATTAGACAACATTTGAAAACCATCAGAAACATCTTTTCTAGGTATGTAATTAGTTGTTTTCCTGTTGCTAACATTATAGACCATGTTATTATATATTTTCATATAGTCTGTAGTACCTCATGTGCTATTATACAGAACATTGGTGTTAAGACCATGCACAAAGGGTAGGACTGATTCTGAGGGGCTTGGCTTCAGCTCATGCACTACACCCTTAATTTCAGATGATGTCCGGAGAAAGTCCAAGGAAGTCCGAAGGAGCACAGGAAAGTTCAGAAAGACTTTCTAGACGAGTGCAAGTAACTTCCAGATGAGTGTGGGAAAGTTCTGGAGGAACTTCCGGAAATTACAATGAGGTTTTGTCCTGATACAGATATGTGTAATAGCTACTCAGGACTTGTCCTGAGTAGAAGCAAACAGAGGAAAGGCTGCAGGGACAAAGTCCGAAGCAGAATAGGTCCGGAGGACCATGGGAAAGTTCTGGAGGAACTTCCAGAAACCCAGAGGAGTTCAGAATCGAAGAAGCAGAGCTCCAGCCTAGGGAATTCCTCCCTAGGCCTGAGATGGATATTGACTAAGTTGGAGGACTAGAACTAGTATGAGGACTTAGTGTGAGATCTAGTGCGAGGACTAATATGTGTAATATTCAGACTAAGGAAATACAGGAGTTTCTACAAGAGTTCATATACTGGAGGCAAGTCTGTGCAGATCAGTAAGCAGAGGGGTAAGGCTATGTACGAGCATGTGGAAATGTATTAGTAAGTGAAACAGAACATAAGGAAATGAACTCAGAGATGAAACTCATACATAATACATTATCAAGACAGAAGCAGAGATAACCGAGAGCCGGAGACACAGGTATGAGGTAATGCACAGGTGTGCGGGAATAGTTTCAGATAGGACCACAAATGAGATCCAAAGGTCTGAAAACCAGGGGTTCAGATAGGACATGGATGAGGATCAGATGAGGATCAGATGGAGTATGGATTGGATGTGTGAACTGGATCGGGTGGAGATCATATGGATATGTCCAGATATCATAGTAGAAGTGGGGTGTAGAATCTGGTATATGACAATTGGACCTGAAATTTATTGCTACTACGTTGCCTATAGCACTTCAAATTTCTACATACACAGTATATATTTTACATACCTCCTACCTATTCATGACTTTATCTTTATACCTTTAAGTAGAATGGAGATCATCCAATATTAGTAGTTCTTTACTGAATTCTGAAATATCATTCTGTCACTATCTGAAACACTCAAAAACACCTGATAGCATTCCAACATTCATCTCCCCCAACATTCCCTACTAATACAACACTTTTCTAACACATTTCTGACATGTGACCTGAGCCAAAAGTATTGAACCTGGCATTTTCATTTTGAACTAAATATTTCTAGCTTCATACTATCTTCTCTTTTATATAACTGACTATTATAATTCACTAAATAGCAACCTTTATAGGGTCAAATATCCTTGCCTTGCAAGTGAAGCAGCATAGGCATAGCATAAACTTATAATTTATATTAATTTAATATTTAATATTTTTATTAGGTATCCAATCATTGTTGTTTTATTATAATGGACCTCATGGTACATTTACCCTTATAAGACCTAACTGGTTTTTAGAGATATTGCAAACATAAAACAGCACTGAATTACAATAGGCAATGAGCAAGCCAATGAACCTCATATCATTCACATTTTATATGATAGAAAATTACATGGAATGCTGCTATACTCATACTTAGTTTTTAAAGGCATACAAGAAGGACAGACATTAGCCCTTGAATGAAAAGATTATATAACAGCAACCAATATGGTAGATAAGTGAGTAATAGAATTTACTTTCTTATCCTTTGCTAATGGACAAAATAGTATAGCATAATGGATAACATACCAATCTATAAAGAACAAGCAAAGGAAAGGAAGTGAGAATGTATGTAATATGTCATAATTGATATAGTGCATACAACAGACACTTTATATACAGTGGCTCAAAAAAGTGTCCCAATGTTTGTAAGTTTTCATGTAATTGGTTTATTGTGTGCCAGGGCGTGAGAATCTGACTAAAATGTATGTAATATGTCATAATTGATATAGTGCATATAACAGAATGTGTATCTGTATAAACTACTCAACTGCTCATGAATATAAGTGTCATATCCTGCATTCCGGACCCAGAACTATCACACACATCATTTCCAGATTTCTGGATCCGGCCAACTTCTATCTATCGTCCGGATCCGACCTGCATCTATCTTCCATGCCTTATCCCTTTGTACGTTCCTTCTCCAGTTAGACTATACTCATTTTCCGTACCTCATTTCATTTCCGCCTTTATTTTCCTATGTTCTTATTTCCGTCTTCATTTACTATTTTCCGATAGACTAGTGTTTGACTTTTCTATACACTCTGTCCACAGCCTCGCATAGCTTCAAACTGTGCTGGCTGATTCTCCGTTAAGTCCTCAGTAGTATATAAACCCTGTAGAATCTTTGTACTTCCTCAGTTTGAATATTATCTTAGACTCTGCTCATTCCCTCCTCTGTCTGACTTGAGTTCTTCTCTCGTCATCCTCCGCTAGTCTTAGGATCGACTCCTATAGACTTCTCACCTCTGCCTCTACCTCTGGTAGTTCTCTGCTGTTTCCTTTCTAGTTTGGACATCGTCCAGATTAGTCTTATCCCTCGTTCCCGAACGTCCGCCGGAATTCCCGTGCATCGGACATCAGACTCCGGACTCGTCCTACAACCTTCAGACATTGTCCAACAGCCTTCGGAAGTTAGGGGCACGTACTCAGGTAAGGGGCACAGCGCACGAGCTGAAGCCAAGCCCTTTGGATCTCTGAACCATTGAGCACATTCTTAACAATAAGAAGGAATAAACATAAAATGACCAAAGACAAATAGCTGAACAAATGACAGATAAGATGCATGAAGGCATTAAAATAGGAGTAAGTAACAAAGACTTCTGAATTCACTACTGCACACAGAACAAAATCTGTTAATCTCAGATACAGAAATTTGCAATATAAAAAGACTCAATAGCATCTTAGACTTGCTTTGCACAGAACTACAGACTATCATACTAAACAAATTAACACTCCTAGACCTACTAGCATTGGCCAAAATTAAAGTCCAAAACAATAAAGAAGTAAAAGAGTACCTAAAGAAGTGTTACAATGATGTACTTGGGACATCTGTGAAAAACATTAATGGCTTGCTTACCCTCTTAGAGCAGACAAAAACATTTATCTCAGGCTTGAGTGTACTGCATCTAGTACAAGCTAAAGCAACATCAGTAGATTTATGAAATATGGAGGGAACCTGAAAGTTGGAAAATCCTGTCTGTCCCATCCCATCTGTCCATCCTGTCTGTCCTGTCCTTTCTGTCAGCATTGGATTCATCCCCATTGACTGACAAATGATCATTACACTAAAAAATGCTGCTGATAGTCTCACTGTGTGAAGGAATTTATAGACAAGTGAACAAGGACATTTCTTGACTCTTGAGAAGGCACAATGCACCAGGGCCACCTCTATCTAAGGTAGAAGTTGTTAGCCCTGGATAGAGGAGATTGATAGTTGGTTTGCATGAGCATGACAAATGACAATGAGCAGCGCACAGGAGTGCGCAGGGTGTTGTGCTGCTTGGTGGTAAGAATTGAAATATTGAAGTTCCAATAAATTCTAGAAGCATTCTGGGGGAAACATTTCTGGATGGCCAAATTAGGCCAGTATGATGTGGACAATATGGACAGTATGGATAGGACGGACAGTTCTTTCCAAATTTCCAGTATATATGAAACATGGATATATATGCCACACTAGAGTTTGAAGATAAAGTATTAAATTACTTCAAAACTGCAGAAGGACATAAAATCACTATGAAAGGAGGGCAAAAATAAGGGTACAATACATCAACAGTCAAAAATGTATGCAAGTTGGATAAAGAGAGAAAGAAGGTAGACATTATCATTACTAACTGAGTAAGTACCACCATGCCAATCCTACAATATTACTCAACAGTTATCATAAACTATATCATAGCATACATACATTCATCCATCTTTACCTATAGTGGACCAAGGAGAAAAAGAGTTTAGTGAACCCTTACATATATTCAGAAAACTACACCAATGTATGAAGTATAATGACATTGATAAAGTATGTATATCATAGTTTTTAGGTAACTATAGAGCTATTCAAATTAAGAATGCATGATTATCAAATGGAGTATATATTAGTGGGACTCAAAGTAGATTTTGAAACTCGCTAAAGCTTCAGAAAACTCGCTAAAGTCTTCAGAAAACTCGGCCAGAAAGCCACCAAAACACACGGCACATAGCGGCATCAGAGTGGACTTGGAAACAACACTTGTCATTTTTTGAGGCATGTAGACTACGACAAAAACATGTAGATATAGCTATGTATTTAACAAGCAAGGGAAATTACACGAGATGCAATGAAACAGAAATCCACAGATGTGCGCATATGTGAAATGGTTTGTCGGCGATTTTTCTGAGTGCGTGACAGTGAGGGAGGGGGGACTCCGAAGCATTGAGCAAGAGTCAGCGGACCGTGGGGTCATGCATATAACAGTCCATGTCCGCATGCGCGTTATTACTAGTGTTGTTATGAGGAAAGGAGGGAGGAGCTTGCAGAAGACGCGGATCAATAGGAGGATTGTTGTTGGAAGAGCCGTTAGAAGGTTGGGGCTGGGGGGAAAATGTACTGTGGGGCTGCGGCTGAGCAGAGGATGCGCTGTGTGATGGCAGATGGGGCTGCAATTGGGGGGAGGATGCGCTGTGTGATGGCCAATCAAGCCCATCCAGTGTAAGGCAAATATGGAAGAGGAGGATGTGATCGATGCATCGATCATAGTGACAACTTTTGGGAACATCTCGCTGGTCAATGAAAGTAGCGACACTGATTGTCCATATCAATCAGATGAGTTCATAAGAAGAAGAAGAAAACGCACTAGAGTTCTTATCGAGCGTGAAGAAATCAGCAAGCAGATCCTCTGATGCCAACCTCAGTTCCTTCAGGTTAAGCTTCTTGCCAAGCACCAATGAGCTTGTCTCGGTCTCTTCACAGGTAATGACAATGACAGGGAAGTTGTGGATTAGCATGGGGGTGTGGTTGAGTGCAGCCGCCATCAGGATGTTATGGGTTGGTGTGGGGGCGTGGTTGAGTGCGGCCGCCATCAGGGTTGGTGTGGGGGCGTGGTTGAGTGCAGCTGCCATCAGAATTGGTGTGGGGGCGTGGTTGAGTGCAGTCGCCATCAATGAGGTCGACGACATCAGCAACACTGATGGCAGCAGAAATTCAAACTCTGATTCAAACTCCGCTGAATCAGTTGGAGATCGGACAACTAATAAGATAATACCCCTCCCCACTATGATCATGCCTCATGTAGCCCTACGTGAAGATCTCCTCAATTCTATTGATAAAGCTACTTTATCATTAGCCAATTTGCAATACCAGAATGCACTCCTAGACGACTGGTCTGACTCCGAGTCTGATATGGACTGGGACACAGATTCAGACTCAGATGATGATGAAGATAGTATCAACATGCCTTTTAGCTCGATGTCCCCCCCATCCCCACTGTCCCCACTGTCACCTTTTGCCAGCACTGCGACTTCTTATTCTTCCTCCGAGTCTAGTGATGAATCCAGTGCTGATGTTGCTGCACATTACAATAGGCTCCAAGACACCATCACTGCACTTCGTGATGAAGTCGAAAGGGCACGGGTACTCCACAAGCCAGATGAACCACCTCCACGAGCACCTCAGCTTCATATGCTAGTTCATCACGAGGAACACCGCCCTCATTTGTTTCGGCAGAAACTTCGTGTTAACCCAGAGATCTTCGATGATATCCTTGATCAGATCTCCGATCACCCTATCTTCCACAACCAGTCCAACAATCCTCAGCTCCCTGTTTCCATCCAGCTTGCCATTTTTCTCAATCGTGCAGGCCACTATGGGAATGCCATTACTCTTGAGGATGTCGCTCAATGGGCAGGTGTGAGCGTTGGGTCAGTTGTCAATTGCTCTCATCATGTGATGGTTGCAGTGCTCGATGCACATGATAAGTTTATCAACTTCCCAGCAGCTGACTCTGAGGATGCTCGCTTGGCTCAGGCATTTGCTGAGTCTCAAACCTGTCCAGAGTGGAGTGGAGGCTTTCTAGCCATTGATGGCTCAACTATGGACCTTTATGCCAAACCTGGCTTTTATGGTGAGGTGTTTTATGATAGGAAATCAAAGTATTCCCTTGGTTGTCAAGTAATGTGTTTTTCTCTATTATCATCAATAAAAAAATTAATTTAATTCTAGGCAGTCATTCTGCCCCACAACCTCCTGATTGTTGATTATTCCCTTGGTCAACCTGGGAGTGTTCATGATGCCTTTGCTTTTCGATCCACTCACCTATATGAAGAGCATGCTGACCTTCTGCCTGATGGTCACTGGGTTTGGGCAGACAGTGCATATCCATTGGAGCCATGGTGTATAGCCTTTTCAAGAAGCCTCACAATGGACGGTTGACAAAGAACCAGAAGACATTCAATTATCACCTTTCTAAAGTATGATTTTTGCTTGGGTGGATTTTCAGTGAATTTAAATTTATTTAGGTCCGTGTGCGTGTGGAACACACATTTGCTGTTTTGAAGGGACGGTTCCAGTCTCTCCGAGAGCTCCAGTTCAATATTCAGTCAGAGAAAGACCTGGAGTTTGCTGTGCAGTGGATTAAATGTTGTATCATCCTGCACAACATGATTATCCGCTTTGAATCCCATCATCTCCAGCAGGATGGATTATACAAGAATTCTCTGAAGTGGGCTCGTGTAGAGGGTGGGGACTTTATACCTCAAGAGCATGAAGATGTAGATGGTGATGAAATAGTTGGTGACAGATCTTATGAAGGAACTCCAGGCCAGACTACTCGTTTAAAGCTGATGGATCAGCTCTTTGACAGTCCTCATTCAAGGGCTCAACGTAGGAGGGGGTGAAGACCAAGAAAGCTTATATTGACCATGAATGTGTCCTACTAGTAAGATACTTGTACAACATATGTAACATATGTACCATCAAACACAACAACAATGAGAACAAAAAATAAATAAAAATGAGAGCGGCAAAACGATGACATGATGATGATGATGACGACAACGGACGACAACGACGACAACAATGACAACAGACGATGACAACGACGACAATGGACGACAACGACAATGACAACGGACAACGACAACGACAAACGACTCACTCCCCATGCGAGGCAGGAGGTTTGCTACCCTGCATCATCTGATGGAACTGGATCTTGAGGCGTAAGGTTTCCGCTTCCTTGTCGAGGACTAAGGAATGTGCCTTGTGCACTTGAATATCCGTCTCACGAAGGCGGATTTCAGCGTCCTTACTCTCCTGATGGCATTGGTGATTGACGGCGGCTTGTGAGGACTCGTGCGCACGCGTGTCACGAAGCCACTCGTACTTCTTCACATCACGATGGTAGTCAGTCTTCACATCAAGCTTCGCGAGGAAGCGTTGATGCTTCGCCTCATGGCGCGACACAGCACTGGACTGGATGCTCTCAATCTCGTCATTTACCTTGGCAACCTGTTCCTGAACGTCCGACTTAGGCTTTCTTCTTCTTCGAGCCTTCGGTGCTGGTTGGCAATGATGTGTGGGGGGTGGGACTTATTAAACTGTCGGATGATGTGTTGCGAGTTGTTGAGGAAGGGGTTGACATGCTGCGGGACATCCCTGACGATGCGATAGAGGGTGTTTTTCTGTGACTGCCCCCCACGACTGGAGGGTCGCTGTGCGCTGAATGCCGCACAGCTGTCATAAAAGGGTGTTGGTGATTTCTGCGGCACTTCAAAAGCACTGGGAACGTCGGGAGGAGGAGAGGGCGATGCTGCAAGTTGACGCTTTTTCCAGCAGCTCTAGTGTGGCTGTCAGGGGTCATGGGGTCATCTTCCAAGTGGCGCATTGCATCCCCGAGGGGGGCGGACAAAGCACCACTCAGATCCAGGTCATCGTCATCGTCATCGTCATCGTCATCGTCATCAGGGCCATCCATATTACAGTCCATGTCATTACGATGAAAGGAGGGAGGAGCTTGCAGAAGACGCGGATCAATAGGAGGATTGTTGTTGGAAGAGCCGTTATCCATGTCCACATCCGCATCATGATTGGTATTACTAGTGTCGTTACGAGGAAAGGAGGGAGGAGCTTGCAGAAGACGCGGATCAATAGGAGGATTGTTGTTGTAAGAGCCGTTAGAGGGTTGGGGCTGGGGGGAGAATGTACTGTGGGGCTGCAGCTGAGTGGAGGATGCACTGTGTGATGGCAGATGGGGCTGCAATTGGGGGGAGGATGCACTGTGTGATGGCTGAGCTGGCACCCTCAAAATTCATCGAGGGACCAGCCCTGCCAGGGTCACCATGCGGCTGTACGAGCGCATAGAGATTACCCGCGTGGTCAACCTCCGGCCTGGATGAATGCGATTTAATCGCAAAAGATGGGATCGAGTGCCACATGCTATTGAGATCGGTATACCATGGAAGTTCAGCATTGACTTCATCTGCAAAGTTCGATCGGTCAATGATCAAGAAATAAGTATAAAGGACTCACCCAATAAGTTGTTCGAGGTAGTCGCGTCCAATGGCACCACACCAGCACCCGTTGCGCTGAACTTGGCCTTGCACTTCTTGTATTTATTTTTGAGACTTGAAATTTTATCAGCGTAAATAAGAACAAGAGAAAGAGACTTACGCTGTGATGCAGTTGGCGACTGACACACGAAACTTCTTCAGATCCTGATGATATGCGGTCTTGTATTTGGGGTGGGTCACAAAGATGAGCTTGGCAATAACATCATGTATTTCATTCTTGTCCTTGCCCGAGGGGGCATCATCAACGTTAGGCATTGCTTTCTTACCATCAGAATAGAACAGGATGCGACAATCAGGTGGGTGAGTAGTCAGATGATTGATGAGGATTGTAGTGAGAGCATGATCCCTTTCCCACTGGATAGCGAACTTGATTGTATCTTGACGATTGGATTCAGGTTGTCGTTGCGACGAGGAGGCCTGCGGATCCATTGGATTTGAGCGCACCTCTTGAGTGTTGGCTCTAAGTCGTGCTGAGCGACGAGCAAGATGGCGAAGGGCAGGCATGGTGTTTCAAACTCCGAAAGCCTGACTTCGAATTGCGGTGCCATGCAGGCTGTGTTTTTTCGACTTTCCTGACGAGGCTTTAGCCGTGAGTAGCCGGGCGCCAAAATCTACCTTGAGTCCCACTATTGAAAGTGAGTCACATTATTGATACCGAGTTGTACCTATCATTAGTAATGATGCATCAGATGGCCCATCAGATTCGATTATGTACGGATCACCTCGCTATTACAGTGTTGCTTCCTACCACCATCCTCCCTCAATTTGCCCTCAATCCTACTTTTTGACACACTGAGTCGCACCTCAGACCACTTCGACTGTCAAATTGCACAATTTCAATAGTTTACAAGGTGCGTTATCACAGTTGTCAAGTCTTTAGATTTATTAGACTGATTCTTAGTATTAATGATGTTAGACCGAATATCCAGACCCTCAGAGCTTATCATACACTCAACTCTACCGTCTGAACCCAGTGTTTCTCCATCAGACTCTGTGAAGACTCAAAAAAGGTGAGTCTCTTCATAGTTTAATTTACCCCAGGCCTATTATTAACCTTCAACGAATTTTATCAGGCATCTTGGACTTGCCGCTGGATCAAAACCAATCTCGATGCCTTCTGACCCCACACTCCGGACATGTTCATATTGTAACACACAATACTGTCGTCAAGGATTCCAAACACATGAGAATGCTTGCCGGAAGCGATATGAACAAAGAAGAGAGGATGTTGAGCTTGCGAGGCTTATTCAACGAGGTATGTTCATTGTTTCAGACATTACGGCTTCACGCTAAAATACTAAATGTCAACACACTGTAGAGAGAGAACATGTGCAGCAAGGTAGCGTTTTTGATGGCGAACGACCATCTGCTTTTAGTGAGTCGTGATTGTCTTGTGGCCTTAATCACCGATCCTAACTCATTTGACCACTGATAAGCTGCCTGCGATCATTCACAGTACATCAATATTGATGTCGACTTCAGTCATCCAGATGATACTGATATAGGACAGACATCTGAACAAGGTATGTCTTGAAAACATTCTGCGCATCCGAGTTTGCAACTTTCATCTGTATTTTGGATCATCTGCCACCGTCCAGAACGGCATCACCTGTATCTCAATTCGAAGTTGATGATATACAAGTCCAGTATCACCCCAACAGTGGGCGCCCTACTCAAGTTTACCACTTCGAGGATTATAGATGTGGCCCTGGTACCCCAGCAGCACCTCCGAAAGTTGATCCTGAGCCCTGGCGTCCATTTCGCACTCGTATTGACTTTGAAGTGGCTGAACTTGCCCATGAAGCTGCACTAACTCATGAGCAGACAGACTGGTTCATCAAACTCATTCACCGCAGCAGATGCAAGTTGTTTACGCTTCAGAATTGTAAAGACGTGCGAGACACATGGGATGCAGCCTCGTTCAAATTGACTCCTGTTTGTATCCAATCACTCTGAGTGTAGAATATATCCTTACTTTGAATACCATAGTTTATGAAGGAAGAGGTTGTCGTGCCCTTCCAAGGCGTTGATCAGACCTTTCCATTTTTTCATCGCTCACTATGGGACTGGGCGGTGGACCTACTTCAAGATCCTGAAGTTGGTCCACATTTCGTTTTCGATGCCCAACAGCTTTCGAAGTTCGATGGCGACAAATTCGTTTGGTATATTCATGAGCCTTGGACTGCTAATGCCTTCTGGGAACATCAAGTATGTGGTGCTATTACTCGTGTTATGAGTTCAATGTGTGTCTCGGTATACTAATTGAATATCATAACAGTCGAAGATACCATCAGATGGCAAACCACTTGCATTTATCCTCTACGCAGACAAAGCCAAATTATCATCCTTTGGTCGTGCAAAAGGCTATCCAATAGTTGCGCGATGCGCTAATCTTCCTGCTGCTGT